TTAGATAATGAAGAGTTTAAATTGTACGATTTCATTACTATATCTGGAAAAGGGAAATCAACAATTCGAATCGGGAAAATAATTTCTTATTATTATTATTATAATAATAAATAAAAAAATTTTTATTTACAAAAAATAATATATAAAAACATCAAAAAAATTATTAAAAAGAAAAACTTATCTCTAAAATCTCGCTGTAAAAGCACCCTATTCTCTCTCCGGAGCAACTCGTTCTCTCTTTTAATCCTCACATTCTCTATTTGTGCCCACATCAACTCATTTCCTAATTTCAATTCTATTCTTTCTAACTCCAAACGATCCACCATTCCCTCTATTTTTCTTTCATTGTTAGAGCTATTATTACGATGCGACTTGATGAAAGTGATCAAATCCGAATATATATTTTTTTCATCTGTTAAGATGAGGTTATATCCGTTTGATCTGGCTACTTTCGCTCTCTCCGTTGCAGGTTCGGTAAATCTATCTTTGAATCGAGCAACTAAGATACCAATAACGACTTTTTTATTGACACCTGTAAACGCTCCTTCAAATCTCTGTACTTCTTCATATCCCACACTCTTACCCGACTATAATATGAATATAATTTAATTACTTATCGCCTCTTGAAAAAAATAAAGACGATGTATAGATACTGTACCTTACACTGTATCATTATATAATACTCCCCCGCCCACCCCCTTAAATCAACTCCTCCATCACCCGGTTCGTGCCTATAGGTATAAAATGTGAGTAACTGCATCATCATAGTTATTAACCGTTTGAAGAACGTTCACAGCAGGCCGTCCACCGTACGCCAGGACTGGGTACCTGACTGGCGACTTTCGCAAGCTGTGGCCACGAAGCGCTTTCAATTCAAACGATTATTGTATCCTATTCACCACAGACCCGGGGCAATTCCCAGTCAGCTTTTCGACAACGGAGATCGAATTTTTCATAACCAACCAAATATTAAATAAATATCAAGAACTATAAAGTATTTTACATGTACCCTATTCACCACAAACCCGGGGCTATTCCCAGCCAGCTTTTCGGTAACAGAGTTTCGATTCATTTACACCCTCTGTGTTTATCGAAAACTCTGATTTACACCTAGTGGCAGCGTAACTTCAGATACACATACCAAATAGTTCCTTGAAAATAATATCTTTGTGGCTATGGTGATCGATCTTCCGATATTTTATATCTAGTGGCAGCGTAACTTCGGATACAATAATCAACAACTCAACAAATACTCAGTGAATACTCACTCGTTACGACGAACTTCAATCCCTACTTCCCTTAAAAGACTTTTGATAATGTTTTCGAAATTTCTTCCTTCTTCTACGTAACTTGACATCTTTACATACATATCAATATTAATATATTAGTTTGAAACAAAAGATTGAAACTAATACTAATACTAATATAACTTTGTATAAAGATTACCTGTATTGATGAAATAGTCGGTTGTATTGGTTGTAAAAGAATATAAAGAAATTGTTAGATGGATTCATTTCGAATGATGTTAGTTATTATTACAAGTAGACAATGGGATTAATTAAAACAAATATGGTATCTACTCATCTTTTTCATGTATATTCTTGTTCATGAATTCTCACGACATAACTCCATCCAATTCAATATTTTTTAAGAAATTAGATCCATTTCTATGAATATTGGATATTATAAAGTAGACAACGGGGGTTAATTAAAACAAATAAGGAATCTACTCATCTTTTTCATGTACCGTCTTGTTCATTAATTCTCACGAACATGGCTTTGACATCTCAAGCTTAATATTAATATCATGTTTACTTCAAGACTTCAACTTTTCATTTATATCAAAAGTTTCAACAACAACGCGTTCTAATTCATTTAGTAAGTTGTACCATGTAATAGCAAATACCAAGTTTGTATCTTTAGTGATAAAGATGTTATAGTTATCGAAATTAAAATGTGTGTAGATTATAGATTGATAAGAGAAGTTACTATTACACATAATCTGTGTCGATCATTTAAATTCACATGATCGAAAATCTAAGTATTGTATAACATTCAACATTACTGCATAGTTACTATTACGTGTGTAAATTACATAATTGTCGCTTTAAATATACGCTTCGAGAAAAAAAAAGTCACCAGCTTCACAATGTCTAAAGTGTGCAAGAGTTCATCCAAAACAAGGTCTCAACTGGATCTAGATAATAAACGCGAAATTTGCGAATATGCTAAACGACATCCGAAAGCGAAATAGCAAACCATTTTAATAAGGAATTTAGCCCTCCATAGACTGCTCAACTGTTAGCAAAATTTTAATGAAAAAAGAAAAATGGCTTGCTCTTCCTCCAAGCA